TCTCCTTAAACCACCTACCATCATCGACCGACCTGATCATAACTTTTTGGAAATATGAACTCACATGCATTTCTCCTTAAACCACCTACCATCATGAGTGACCCAATCTTCACTTCAGGAATTGTATAGAGACACATACCAGGAGGGAGGTCCCACTAGCACTGGGCCAGGCCTATGCCCAAACCCCTGTGGGCAGAGAAAAATAGGACAACGGTACAAAAGACAAAAAGAAATAGACACCTCATTCCCAGAAAAAAACAAAGCAGTGCCTCCCAGCCATCACAGCACAAACGATCCGATGGCAGGTGTCACCAAAACAGCGAAAACAGTAACTCCCACCAAACTGAACAAGAAACATAACGTCTGGCAGCAAAATAAAAAAATAAAAATAATAAATTAAATTATTAATATATTCATAATTAAAATTAAAATTAAGAAGAAAAAAAAATTAACGTCTGTCACCAGTGATCACAATGCCCTGCTTACACTCCGAGATGGACGGAGTCCTGCTCCCAACGACGACGTTATTGCACAAAACTTCGATAAAAGCGGGGAAATACATTTATGTGCTCTAGCACATTGGGGTACGCCCAAGCCCTACTGCCTCACAAACTATTCTCTGGCCTAGCCCGTTGCTAATGGGACCTCGTCGCAGAAAATCTTTTTTCTTTTTTTTCTTTTTTTTTTTGAATAAACTCCCTTCTGATACGGCCTCAGTTGCAAAATAGTAAATACTAAGAGAAGTCCTAAAAACGGAAAAGAAAACATCTTTCAAGTTTCAACAGTCCGTCGTGGATTTTCATTTCATCGCCCACAAAAAATTCCACACGCTCGGGCCTACCGGACGACCACAAAAGAAAAAAAGAAAATTGAAGGCGCAGTGCCGGCCAAAAAACCGGAAAAAAGTGTGGCGACAGGCAAAAAGGGAAAAGAAAGCCGCGCTGGCAGTTCAGCACAACTTGGCGCACCGTGCACCACCGCCAGGCCCGGGTGTACCCCTGCTGGTTTAAAGTTTAAACCACCACTACCATTCTCAGGCAAAGTTGGCCGAAGTTGTCTACATCCGCATGGTTTGAGGGCGCCGCTTGGTGGAACGCTTTGGCTGGTGCCGCCAGCCACAAAGTAAAAACAAAAAACATCACGCGGGTTCTTTCCAAACTTGGCGCGCAGCAGAAATCTGCCATGGGAAAGACAGGCTCGGAAACGGGGGTGGATTAAAGGACCTGTGCAACCGAGCCTCTTTTTCCCATGGCAGATTCGCGCTGCGTGACAAGCTCTATTATTGCACCACCAACGTGCACGCTTTCTCTTTTTTCACTGGCACCGCCAGCGATTTTTGCCTGGTAGCCCGAGTTCCCAAAAATTTTGGATTGGCTACATTATAAGTTTGCCTGGACGATGTACTGCCATATTAAGAACAAGCAAAGATATACAAGAAACCTTCTCTCTCTCTCTCTCTCTCTCTCTCTCTCTCTCTCTCTCTCTCTCTCTCTCTCTCTCTCTCTCTCTCTCTCTCTCTCTCACACACACACACACACACACACACGCACACACACACACACACAGAGGGTAGTGAAAGAGCCCGCCAGACCTGCCACACATGTGAGGGTTCTACTTCCCTGAAAACGCTTTTTCAGGAGGTGGTGTACAGTGCAACTGGCCCTAAATAATATCCAGGCCGGGCAGGTCACACCAACAAATGCAAAGGGCCTAGCGGCCTTTCAACATCTTTTAGGCAGGGCATGCGCCTCCAACCGGGTTTCTTTTTTCTCCAAAATCGGCTCAGATACTACAGGGAGTGGGGAGTGGCACGAGCTTCTCCTTGTAGTAGAGTCTGCCTGCTCGCTGCCCCGACCTATTGGTGGGGGGCGTCACCTGCTGGAAATTGGGTCCCGTGTCTCATAGATATTGCATTTGCTAGGTTATTTTGCCTCCCAACTCGTATTTGGAGAGCTGGCAGGAATTTCACCACACAGGCATTTTGAGCACACACACAGAAAAATTGGGGGCAAGTGTCTACTCGGTGGGCGGAGGGAATATGTCGCTGCGCCGGAACAGCTTTTTATGCGACGTAGAACCTCTCACATGTTACGGCCTTCCATTCTAGCCCAGTTCCTGCCCTCAAGATTTGTTTGGGCTATCAGCTCCGCGCTAGTGGAACGCCTGTGTTTCTCGATGACAGATAGCACGCTGCCATGAGCACAGACCCCCAGCCATCCAGTGGCACACAGAACGACGATCCGGATTGTGATTTGGTTTCATATTCCCCGGCATTTCTATTCAGTGCAAGTGAACCAGTGGAGTCAGAGTCACCACTGGCTGCCACTCACTGTCCATTCATGCCAGCTGTGTTCTATTTCTGGGGCGCAGTTCCACAACCGTCTTCCCCCGATTGGAACGCCCGGTCATTATCGCTGCATCTGGACTGAAAGTCGGGCCAAATGCAGCTATAATGACCAGGCGCTGTATTCATGTGAGGACGGTAGCACAAGGATTAGACTGCTCACGGTCCGTGTGACTCATGTGGACTGAATTCAGTGATCACTCATGTGGACTGAATTCAGTGATAACACTAATAAGGAAAAAGTTGTGTGCAGAGGTACACTTGTCCACGAGAAGGGCCGTTCCAACGTGGAGAGAGAGAGAGAGAAAAGAGAGAGAAAAGAGAGAGAGAGAGAGAGAGAGAGAGAGAGAGAGAGAGAGAGAGAGAGAGAGAGAGAGGCGAGACATGGTCAAAATGACACATGGCATCCCAAGTTCCATGCGGCAGTCCGGGGGTAGCAGGAGGCAACATGCGGCCTTGCGGGAGGGGGACGTGGTGCAGCGGGAGTCGACACGTGGCACGGCGGGAGGCAACACAAGGTTCACCGCCATCCCCCCCCCCCCCCCCCCCCCCCCCCCACAAAAAAAAAAAAACTTGCACCCCCTGGGTGTTCTTTTTTTGGGAGGCAAGGTGGGCGGCGAGTGGCATGGGGGCTTTATCACGATTGTGTCACCCCATAATCACAGGCCCCCAAGGTCCATCCAGGACGTTGTTGTGGCATTTCATGCAGCCGGGGGTTCGCAGGTTCAAGTCAGATGAGCGCCTGTGCACCTCCAACTTGCAAAAAAATAAAAAAAAGTTTTCTTTCGCAGAAAAACCATGTTGCGGGGTTGCATTGTATGCGATGTACGTGCGCGCACAAAAACGCGCGTGCAGGTCGCGTAGAACACGTACATAGGGACGGACAGGTCCAGCCGACTTTGTAAACTATTGCTTGCTGATTCTCTCCGGCGCAATAGCACAACAAAAACTACATCACTGACAGCAAAACAAGATAAACCACAACAAAACTAAAAGCTCGATTTTACCTGGCTGCGTGATGAAACACATCTACGGAGGGACTAGTGACACACATGTCATCAGTAAATAGTTTTTTTTTTTTTTTTTTTTTTTTGAAGTCCAGGATGTTGTAGAGGCTAATTACCAGGCACACAGGGATCACCGGGAGCGATGAGCCTTCGCAGTCCTAAGATACGAGGTCACCTCCCACCCTACCACTCATCAATACTCCCAGCGTACCCCCTAACCCAACTATCTTACCTCAGTGTAACCCACTCAGGACCATCACCCAACCGCTAGGTGGGTGACTTGGACCAGACAGTAGTGATAGGCACCAAGGCTAGCTATTACCCCAGCCCCAGTGGAAGCGAAATCGGACAGGCCTCGCTGTACGGGAACTTCGGACGCTAAAGAGTTATAACGGAAATCCATGTGCTGGTGGAACCGTGCCCGTGGAGTGTATTTCTGTAGCAGACCTACCTTTTGCGCATTAATAGGGGGGGTTTCTAATGCGTCCTTGTGAGCGCAGTGTGAACCTACAGGCTGTGGAGTTCTGCATCTCCTGTGGGTGGGTGACAGCCTGCTATTGGTTTTCGTCACAGATATCTGAAAGAAAAAAACAAAAAAAAACGCCACTGGTTGGTGCCCATCTCAGGGCTCAGTTGTCATTTTCATGTCAAAACAAAGAAAAGACACAGTCGTAAAAAAAAAAAAGAAAAAAAAAAAAAGAAAAAAAGAAAAGAAAAGAAAAGAAAAGAAAAGAAAAGAAAAGAAAAGACACAGTCGCACAGCAATTACCGCGGCCCCACCTTGAACTTTGGTTTAGGTGGGCAGCACCGCACATAGGACCTCCTCATGCGTCAGCGAAAGCCCCTGTATGCTATTGATGCGTGACGGACTTTCCTCGACAGCATAGGGGTTCTTTTTTTTTTTTTTTTTTTTTTTTGGTCAGGGGTTCATCTTTTTCTTTTTTTTTTTTTCTTTTTTGTCAGGGGTTCATCTTCTTGACATGCTGGTGAAAGTCCATCCATCCAGACAGTCACATACCCCCCCCTGGTTTTCTACCTTCTCCTTTCTGCCTACACTAGGACAGAGAGGGGGTGGTCAATTTGCCACAGCGGCCATGAATCAATCGCACACTCATAAGACCAGTGTGAAAAAATAGCACAGGAGGTAAGAAGAAGAAAGGGTGGGGCACACTAGGACAAAAAGGGGGGCGGAGGGAGGGAGGGAGGGGGAGGGGGGAGGGGGGGTATTGTTACAGCAGCCATGAATCAACGGGGCACTCATGGAACAAATGTGGAAAAATAGAACACACACAGAACACAGGAGGTGAGAAGAAAGGAAGGGCACATGAGAGAGTTTTCTATTATATCTTGTCACATAGTCATGAGCCCAGAACAGATCACAAAAACAATTGCAGAAATATATACCAATTGACAACGAGGACAGAAGTTGGGAGGAAGAGAGAAAAAGTAACAGTGAACTGTTTTCTTTTCCTTCTTCTTTCAGTTTTCACCTGCGCAAACACTTGCGAAGGAATGGTGGAAAGAAACATCACAATTGACATTGCAGAACTGCTTAACAGCGAGGAGGCGGGAGAGGTGGGGTGGGGTGGGGTCGGGGGGGGGGGGGGAATAGAGCACCAGCTACAGTCTTGAAGCAAATGAAATCGAGAAAGGAAGAGCACAAAATTCGGGAAAACAAACGGCGAAATGAAGGGTCATTGTCATGCGTCGTGCATATATTCAATTTCATCTCGTGGCTGCACCCAGGAAGAGCGCAGCACCACCGCCGCCACCGGGAAGACCTTTCGGAGCCACCATTCCCAAAGATCGTCGCAACCTGCTTCCGTACAACTGCTCTCGGTGAAAACTTGCCGCCGATGCTGAGGGCTTAAATTCCACCCCCACATTTCCCGGATCAGGAAGAACTGCCACTTCCAGTCCATTGTCAATGATCAACTTCTCTGTACTCTTATTCACCATCTTCTCCTTTCTCCTTTTATTCTTCTTCTCCTTCCCGCTGTCGCGACGGCCTCCCCAATGCTCACTTTGACCCAACGCACCTTGTTCAGCTCTGCTGACGCTTCCTCTTTCGCTTTCGGTCTTCTGCTCCCTCTCCGTCAAGGCCCTCACTATGCTCTCCGACAATAGCTTACCCTGCATCTCCTCCTCCGTACCATCGTCGTCGTCGTCGGAAGAACCTTCATCCCGTTCATCTGCGTCATCGGCGGACTTGCCATCCCTCTCATCTCCTCGCCTCGAGCTTTGGGCCATTTGCGTTCCTCCGTCCTCTGCGGATCTGTTCTGCAGACTCTCGTCCCCTGACCGGGTTTTATTCTTTTTCATCTCCTTCTGCTGCTGCTGCTTTTCAGCCTTCTTCAGCTTCGAGTTCTCCGCTGCTGCAAGCTCCTCCAGCCTTGCTCTTTTCTCCTCTTGACGGGCACGAATCCGCTTCTCTCTCTTCTCCTTCACTGCATCGGCAACGCGCTTCTTTTCAAATCTCTCGACTTTCGACTGTTCCGCCGCAATCTCCTTACCCTTTTTGAGAGACACCTCCTCTGGGATATCGTCGTCCTCTGCATCTACCAGCTCCTCATCCATAGCGGATATATGTCCCATACTCGTCCTTACGTGCACTAAGAGAGATGCTCGCTTCCGAAGTTTGGGGCTCTCTCTGCAAGGTACAAAAGTTGGACAGATACAACAGACGACTCTTTTACCAAAAAAGCTCTTAGGCGGTTCACGTTTCTCGATTTATGCGTGTCATCCTTACTTGCGCAGGGGCCATGCTAATCTTCTCTGTATCGTTCCGATTTTAACGGATTAGGCGGTTCGCGTTTCAGCGCTCAACATGATATTCCAATGCCTGACAAATTGCTCTTCTCTCCGAACCGTCAGACCATGCGCAAGTTCCTTGGCGCGCTATCAACTCGTGTATGCTTTCCAAAATCTCAGAATTTGTGCGCATTCATCTACCTGTGTTTCTGTGCAACTCTGCCCTGCCCATTACACAGAGGCGGGGGACTGAAGAAAGCTGGTGGGAAAAGGAGGAGAAAGTTTTCACCTTTAATATGGTATACAGGGAAACAGAGGCGACCTTCTGCTCGTGCTCGCCGTCGTCATTTTCCAAGATACCTGAAAAACATTCGGCGAATCGTATCCAAGACTTCCAGGATGCAAGTCCTGCATCCCGGAAACAAGACATGGCTTCTCGATTCTGTACACTTTTCAGAAGATAAGGTCAGCAGAGGTATTTCTAACTTCACCACCGCAGCACCCTCCCAAAAGAGGGAGGACAGGACGAGGGGGGCAGAGGGGAAAGTTGGCATGGGGTGGGGGGGGGGCGAAGGGAACAGCACTTGCACGTGCACCTCAACAAGACCGTCCCATTCTGACATGGCCAGAGCTCTCGTAACTGATGCCCGCCTGGTTCATCACAGCTCCTCTCCTCTCATCACCCTCCTGGTACAGCCTACCCTACCTCTAATCGCTGACCTGCAGATATTGGTTAGGTATCTGCCTGGTAATCCGTAGGTTACGTGTTCGATTCCTGGACTCGACATGCATGCACTCCACATAGTTCAGCGCACAGAATCTGAGACAAATGACAGACGAAAGGATGGCTAATGACACACTTTCCTCCGCACAAGTATCCAGGTGGCCATTACCAAAGCATTAGAGAGCCTATCGGAGAAGGGATTAGAGAGGCTATGAGACACTTGGAAAGAAAGTGCATGCATAGCCCATCCCTTTGCGCGATTCTTTGATTAGTCGCAAGAAGAAAAAGGCCAGATTCAGGTGTCAGGATTTCTTCCCTCCGTATCTTCCGAGACGGTAGATCCTTTATGATCTCCGCTTTGTGCCAAGTGCGGAGGTGCCCCCCTCCTCCCCAACCAAAGAAATATGGGCTTGCACTCTCTGCTTCTGCATGTTTGTTGTACCAAACGGGGTTGGCAGTGCTGGCTCAGTGCCAACTGGCTCAGCGGCTGGCTTGCTCCGTTCCTTGCTCTTCTACCCTTGGTTGGGTTTACGCGAAGTTCTTTTTCTACTTTTCAGAGTATTTTGCTTCTCGTATAGACGAGGTCGAAGACATGTTCAGAAACATCGACTGCTTGTCGCCACTAGATCTAAACATCAACTCGTTGCACACCTCTCTTTCTTCACAGCTTTTCTCCAGGCAGTGGACACTGCACAGGCAACTACTGATGTTGGTTCCCTCCTCTTGCACACCCACTACTGGTCAGGATTACTCGCAGCGTTGTCACCGCAGGTACTATTTGTACCTTCCACCCTTTCATTGCCCGTCAGCACACAGTCTCCTGACATCGCTCGTCTGCTTTTACAAAAGGAATCAATGAGGACTTTCTTAGACGTATCTGACAGCGATTACAGCCAGGTGTGGACGTACGCAACCACAATTTTACATCCAGAAACTGCTTGAGAGAGCCTATTGTATGTCCTCAGAAGCCAACAAAAGCATAGACAGTGTTATCGCTCCCTACATGTGAATGATTACTGCATCAGACAGGCGTCAGTGGCGCCAAACGCGTGGCAACAGGCTCAACAATTTGTTCCACTCCTTGCTCTTCTTCCATTGGCTGCTGTCCACCATCAGATAGAACCTGTGTCCCTCCACGTACTTGTCCCTTTTCAAGCTTCGATCGGCCTTGCACCGCACCCTGCGCTTCGTCCATTGGCTGATTCCCACCAGCAGATCTAACATCTGTCCCCCCACGTGCTTGACCCTTTGCACCCTTCAATCGGCCTTCATTGTGCACAATCCGGTAGAAAGCCGCACCTTGTTTCATGCGGCGACCAAAGCAAATAGACTTGGGCTGGGAAGCAGTTTCCGATGCAGTTCGCAGCCGAGACATTGAAACTGACAAATTCTCAATCTCCATTGCAGCATCAAAGTCACCAGCATCTCCCTGACCTGCTTTCTCTTCTGGAGGTGGCTCTTTCACAAAGTTGTCTCTGTGTTCACCGGCACGGCTCACTGTTGCCCTTTCCGTCTCCATCGCCGCTTCTGAGCTACCCGCTCTTCTCATCTCCATCATGTCCTCTAGGCTACCAGCTGCTGCTTGATCTTGCTTCCTTTTCACTGGAGAATCTTTACTTACATCATCATGGGTAGTCGTTGTCATTCCACCTGCTTGCTCCATGCGGTCTATTCCCATTGGAGCAGCTTCTGACCGAGCCTCCATCCCTTCTTCCCTATTATCTGCTACAGCAAGTGAGCATTCTGCAAGCTTGCCCTGCTCCCTCCAACGCATGCCCTCACCTGCCTTCCATCCTACCACTGCAGCTCCTCGTCCTCCTTGTCCTCCTCGGCCTCCTCGGCCTCCTTGTCCTCCTCGGCCTCCTCGGCCTCCTTGTCCTCCTCTCCCTCCTCGCTCTCCTCGCCCTCCTTGTCCTCCTTGTCCGCCTCGCCCTTGCCCCCCCATCCTCCCTCCTCCACCTCTGCTAAGCCCCCTTCCACCAGTTGCTTGGTCTTGCAAAGTCCCACCCGACTTCTGAGCAATCTTCCATCTCTGTTTTTGAGAAGGATGGCTGCATTTGGCATTGAATCTAAAGCTTCGGGGAAACATATGCTTGTCAACAAGATGCTGATGGCGTGCAGCTTCTGTTGCAAAACGATCTGCGCAGTCTTCAACGAGGCACTCGTACATCTTGTAGCCGCGTGCAACCTTTGCCTGAAAGAATGCATCATGAGACTCTGCAACGTGGAGGTTAAGAAGGCGAGTTGTGGGGAACACCTTCCGGCATGTGCAACACATGGCCGAATGTACAGAATTATAGTGTGACGCAAAGGCCTCGACACCATGTAGCTTTGCCTTGCAGCCTGCTAAGGGACAGTCCAAAGCCGGCTGCGACGAGTCTGTGATCGTCTTCCGCAGCTCGTTTGCCTCCTCTGCGGTGATTTCCAGTGCTGCTTGCTTTGACAGCACCTCCCTCTCCAAATTACCCGCCAGAAAGAAAAGGTTATCTACGTCGAAGGACCGCTTCGACGACTGAAGCACGGGAAACAAAGGCCTCGGCCAAGCAGAAGACTTTGGGGAGCCAGAGTTATCACCCTTCTCCTCGCATCCATGTGAAGGTGTTGTATCAAAGTCAGCGCCGCCAACACCACCCGTCGATGCTATACCCTGGTCCCGCATACCATCCATTTCTTCTTCACCAGCCGAGGAGGTCACACCTGTGGCCATGGACTTGAAAATTTTGCTCACCAAGAAATGACAGGAGCTTTGACAAGCATTCCCCCCTTCTTGCCTGGTGCAAGGAATTGCATACGGAATAGTTAGTACGTAAACTCTCTGTTTCTCGCCCTGCAAATACCAGTCACAGGCACTGCTCTCTCTCTCTCTCTCTCTCTCTCTCTCTCTCTCTCTCTCTCTCTCTCTCTCGTCAAACGAGCTCGTGCAAGTCAAAGCATCTGTCCTGGGAAAAAGGCTGTGAGAACAAAAGACTCCCATTCAACCTCTTATACTTCCACGCTGCTGATTCTCTGAGCTCGATCTTAGCATACACGTAACTCCGATAATGCTCAGGGCTCCGACTACCCGTGAGACTGTGATGAACCTGCACCATTAGGAGATCCCCACTCCAATCCCGGCAGAAGGATTCTCCACAATGGCCCAGTCAGAGCCACCAGTTCACACGAGGCTAAGTTGACAAAGCTACCTTTCAAGGCTCACAAGCCTGCAACTGCCTCGTTCACCACCGGCCCGGGCCCGAATCGCCCTGGGCCCGAATCGAAAAGCTCTTACCTTGTAAACCGATAAGAGCTCTGCTCTGCTTCGGGTGAACTGGCGTTTTGACTGCAGACTCAAACGAAGCCTTCGTAGCTAAGAGCATCAGATTCTAGGACAATTCCTTAAAAAAGGGATACGTACACCTTTCCTCCAAATGCCAGCCGGATATGATTTCTTGCATCTCTCTTCTGTGCTCTTCTATCCCCTCTCCTGTGCTCTCCTCTCCCCTCTTCCTCGTTCCTAGCACTCAAATGTCTTCATTGGTTATGAAGACGAATATCATTATGTGCATGGCACCACCTACATTGCCAGTAAATCACCTGAGACGCTCTTCGTCAAAAGCGCCTGCCCACACCTCCCTTTCCCCCCCCCTCCAATATGATTCATTGGCCACTGTTCTGTTTCCACATGACCCCCCCACCTCCCACATGCCTCTCCACGGGCCTCGCTCCACTTCTCAACATTCTACACGCACCTGGACTGCGTTCTGGACAAAATTCATTTCGACTGATTCAACATTTTGCACGCATTGGGACTATTACCGGCTCCAGATACATTTAAGATGTGCTGTGCAGTGGAGCAATGCCCCATGTCTGAAAACAGACGTTGTCCTCGCACACTCTGAAGCTTTCCTTTACAAAACTGTGTTTTGTTTCTTCTTCTCCTTTTTTTATTTCAGGAAAAAGAGAAGAAAAGAGCCATTCTAATTTCTAAATCTGTTGCAAACCCAGAGGCCCTGGAATGGTTCAAAAAGACCTGGACTCAAAAAAGGGGACCAGCTAACCTCAACTTCAGAAAGTTATCAGGCGTATACTCTAACCAACTGAGTTATAGGCCCATGCTTGGAAAGACTTGATCTCTCAACCCCCAAATCCGTAGTGGAAAACTGAGACTGGCACCATGGTTTGGACAGAGGGACAGAACGGCATCGGGAACGATAGGCAATGAGATCAGCAGGAGGCATCGAGGAGGGGCGATGAGGACGTTAGAAGAGTAGCTAGCTGAATTTGATCTTCTTCTTGTTGGTTCGCTCGACTTTTCGGTCGATGTTGGAAAATTTGTTTCAGTTGGAACAACCAGGGCACTCGGTCGCGGATAGAGTCGCAGGAGACTGATAGCAGGGTGGCAGAGTGTCGCGGCTCGAAGGAGCTCAAAGACAGTTCAAGCCAACCGTGGAGGTCAGAAACTGGACCGCTGGGGATAGGTCCTTGTATAGGCAACAACAGAGGATGGGAGAGGGGAGCAGTAGGGTAGAAGATAGGTAGATAACTTAGGAAAGGTGGAAGGTGGAACTACATAAGCGTACATAACCGAAGCTGAGTAATAGGGGAGCAGTAGGGTAGAATATAGGTAGATAACTTAGGAAAGGTGGAAGGTGGAACTACATAAGCGTACATAAGCGAAGCTGAGTAATGCTCTCTTGGTAACATTTTTCCGGGCAGGATTGTGAGGTCCCCGACCTCGACATGAATTTTTGAAACATATGATTGAATATGTTTTGGGGGGGAAAAAATTTAAAAAGAAATCTGTTGCAAACCATATTTAAAGGATTTCAAGAGACTTGTCCCAGTCCCAGTTCCCAAGGTTCCAAGGTGGTGTGCACCATTATTCCCAGTCCGGTAGGCTAGGTAGGCCTTTGAAGGGTTCGAGTAAGTGAGGGGACAGTAGTGGAATTCTATATAGCATAGTAACCCCAAAGAGTTGCCTGGAAGAATTGAAAGCACTTACTCAAGGGATTGATCCCTGCGTCATGAGGGTCATGAAAAAGTGCTCGTCAAACTTGGTGGAACAGAGGCTCCCGTGTCCCAAGACGAAAAACAGAAACTCTGTTTTCTAGTAGTATAAAACACAATTAGTGGCAGCCACAGATGTTTCCCTCCCCCCCACGCAAAAAAAAAAAAAAAAAAAAAAAAAAAAAAAAAAAAAAA